GACTTGCTGGTGTGTTTCAGATCACTGTCCTGCTGTTCACTCAAGCTTCTGGTTATGAACAGATGGCCGCACATTCTCCTTCAGGATTTTCTGGCAGAGAGCAGAATTCATGGTTCCATCAGTTACTCATCCTGGATGAGTCTTCGGGCAGCAGCAAATTTCTGACTATATTTTTGTTTGATGATCTGAAACATTTAAGTAGGACAAATGTACACAAACGGTAAGAAATCAGGAAGGGGTGAAATACTTTTTTGCAGCACTGTGAATTGTTTTGTAGTGAATAAAACAGCCCACACAAGTACAAACACCACAGTGACATAGCCAAAGCAGTGAAAAAGCACTTTATTTATTGTTGTTTTTTCAGCTAAGATTTAAAGTGTGTTTTTGGCTGGTAAACAAAATGTCTATTGACTGTATGTGTATTTAAAAATTACATTTTAATATTAAGTTTGCAAAATATTTTGACTTAGAGTCAGGTATTGCATTCGGTTTCTTCTGGCCTTAAGTGTGTTATCCTATCTTAAATCTGAATATATCTTAAACATATAAAACAGGAAATATAGCAAGTAAAATAGCAACCTAGCATTCCTCATGTGCCAGCTGTATAAAATTACAGAAGAGGATTAGGGCCACTGGAATAAAAAAGCGGGCACGTCTTTTTTTTCCCTTCTTTTCCAGAATTCTGAGAAAAAAGTCAGAATTCTGAGATTAAATCAGAATCAGGATACTTTATTAATCCCTAGGGGAAATTATTTTGGTTACAGTGCTCCAGTATAAACAGTAACAAAGACAGACAATACACTAAGTAAGAAATGGACACAATACATGCATATCTATACACATATAAGTCACTTATTGATAAATAGCTGAATAAGAAAGAAGAGCATGTGCAAAAAGGGTGTAGCTATTGCAGTATACAGTGTGTTAAGTGGAGGAGTTGTACAAAGAGATGGCCACAGACAGGAATGATTTCCTGTGTTGTTCAGTGGTGCTTTTTGGTAATCTCAGTCTCTCACTGAACGTGCTCCTGTGACTGACCAGCGTGTCATGGAGTGGATGGGAGGTATTATCCAACATTGTTGGATAATGTTGGTTGACTGGTAGACAAAAGTCAGACAAAAGTCTGAGAATCGAGGGAATTTGATCTTTGTTTGTTTGTTTGTTTGTTTGTTCTTTTAAATGAATACAGACTAATTTCAGTAAGATCAAAGTGTCGTGTGCATGTCTTTGTGCTGTGCTAGATGAGATCATCTGGCCTGAGGGGGATGAAGCTCTGCCTCAGGATGCACAGGACCTTATTTCCAAGCTGCTAAGACAAAATCCTCTGGAGAGACTGGGCACAGGTAATGCACTGTAAAGCAAAAGAGTTTTTCAAGAATTAGATAAACATTACCACAAAGAAGTGCTACACTAAGATAAGACAAGACAAAACATAGAAATGTATGTGACCATAGGAGTGTGCTGGTGTGCCTGTGTGAATTATTTAAACAGATTTTTATTTTGACCTTGGCAGTGTGTCAGTAAAACTGCTTTGGTTGCTGAACCTTCAAAGAAATCAGTAGCGTTGCCTTTGCCGCTGTGTGAAATTGCAATATTGTGTTGGAACCTATTCATCTCAACTCCCTTATCATTTTAGTCATGTAGAAATAACTGTTACTACACATGTTGCTGCATGCACATATTCAACTCTTCAATAAAGAATCCAGGATTTGAAGGTGACAGAAAGTATAAGATTTATCTGACATTGTATTTCGTGCTGAAGTTCTCCATTTCAGCACAGCATCAGGGTCTAGCTTTAACTTTATTTAATTTGCACAGTCAAAAGTTTGGACACACCTTCTCATTTAATGGTTTTCCTTTGTTTTCACTGCTTTCTACATTGTAGATACAGCCACCACCCTTTGCCACTCTTTGTTTTTTTGACAGCGCTGCAAACCCTTGGCCTTCTCTGTGACTTTCGTGATGTAGTGACCTGAAATGGTTTTCACTTCACAAATGTTCCTTGTCAGGGTTCATTTGTAGAATTGAACTACTGTTAGAACTCATATTATGGCAAGAACCAATCAGCTAAGTAAAGAGAAACGACAGTCCATCATCACCAACATCACATCAGATTAGAGGCCAAATAAATGCCACACAGAGTTCCAGTAGCAGACACATCTTCACATCAACTGTTCAGAGGAGACTGCCCAGATCAGGCCTTTATGGTCAAATAGCTGCTAAGAAACCACTACTAAGGAAAAGCAACAAGCAGAAGAGATTTGTTTGGGCCAAGAAACACAAGGAATGAACATTAGACCAGTGGAAATCTGTGCTTTGGTCTGATGAGGCCAAATTTGAGATCTTTGGTTCCACTCACCGTGTCTTTGAGCGATGCAGAAAAGGTGAACAGATGGTCTCTACATACATGCTTCCCACCGTAAAGCATGCAGGAGGAGGTGTGATGGTGTGGGGGTGCTTTGCTGGCAACACTGTTGGGGATTTATTCAAAATTGAATGGCACAGTGAGCCAGCATGGCTACCACAGCATCCTGCAGCAACATCCCATTTGTGTTTAGTTGGACCATCATTTATGTTTTAACAGGACAATGACCCCAAACACACCTCCAGGCTGTGTTAGGGCTATTTACCAAGAAGTAGAGTGATGGAGTGCTGCGCCCAATGGCCCGGTCTCCTCAGTCACCTGACCTAAGCCCAATTGAGATGGTTTAGGATGAGATGGACTGCAGAGTGAAGGCCAAAGGGCCAACAAGTGCTCAGCATCTCTGTGAACTCCTTCAAGACTGTTGGAAAACCATTTCAGGTGACTACCTCATGAAGCTCATCGAGAGAACGCCAAGTGTGCAAAGCAGTAATCAAAGCAAAGGGAGAAGACGTGTCCAAACTTCTGACTGGTAGTATATAGTGAAAAACTTTTTTTGGAATGTATCTTTCCTCCCATGTTTCAGAGGCCTTTTGTGTTCCGCATCACTGTCTTTGGCTTTTTTGTAGATGTTCAGTTAGACCCAGTCAGCATGCATTCTGCTAACTTGTAGGTTGTTCTTTGATGCTTGTGTTCCCCACTCCACCTCCACCCCATCACCTACCCACCATATATATCTCAATCCTTTCTATCTTCTCTTTAATTTTTCAACTCCACAGGAAGTGCCTTTGAGGTGAAGCAGCACCAATTCTTCACAGATCTGGACTGGAACAGCCTGCTAAGACAGAAAGCCGAGTTCATCCCCCAACTGGAGTCAGAGGATGACACCAGTTACTTTGACAGTATGTCTGCCAGTGCCTTACAGAGATTGTTCACTGTTTGAAAGTCATGTAGTCTCGTCACAATCAACATGTGTCTGTCTCAGCTCGTTCTGATCGCTACCACCACGTGGATTCAGAGGAGGAGGACGATACCAATGATGAAGAACACGTGGAGATACGACAATTCTCCTCCTGTTCACCTCGCTTCAGCAAGGTACACATTGACTCATCCATGTCTTGTACTTTTAAATCAGCTGGATCTTTATTTGGAAGGTTATGCTCAGTAAATAAGCCAAAACCCTCAAATGACAGATATCAGTGAAATAAATGACCTTTTGATAATTTAATATTAGATACTAACATATTTTTGATTGTTTTAGTGTGTTTGAACTGATACACTTGGAGGATATTCTTAATGCCAGGGCAGCTTACCATTTGATCCTGAGGACCATCAAAGATTTTGGCATTGCATATATATTCAGAGTCAGAAAGGATTGAGAGTCTCTGCTCTAAAGATGATGTCTGATGCAGAGAAATGTTTTTATAGGTGTACAGCAGCATGGAACGTTTGTCTCTGCATGAGGAAAAGAGGACACCTCCTCCCACCAAACGCAGCCTCAGTGAGGAGGGAGGAGATCGCATCGACAGCCTGAGTGGACTCAAGTCCAGAGATCGATCTTGGATGGTGGGATCTCCGGAGATGTGAGTTCATCTACAAAAAAGACAACAGATATTTCCGAGCAGACATGTCTGTGCAAATCCACATTGGGTATTTGCTCATGGTCCATAGCAGTTTTGCCCTTTTGTGGCTCCAGTAGGGAAACCCACACATAAACAATGGGCATACTGTGGGTATGTCCCACTGTCGTCCAGTTGGGCCCCACATTTCATGCCAGTTCTTGCGGCCACAGTAGGCTGTGGGCCATATGTATTTATCCAAATTTCCCCTGCATGCCCCAAGTGAGCATGTTTGCTGGTTTATGTACTTTTTGCTTTATTTCTAGTTAAAAATTATGATGATGATGATGTTGTCAGCTTTATTTAGTAGCTGTTCATGTGTTTGTTCTGTCCTGTCCTTCACCTTTACAGCCTGCGGAAGCGTTTGTCAGTCTCTGAGTCTTCCCACACAGAGAGTGATTCAAGCCCACCCCTGACAGTCAGGAGACGCTGCTGCTCTGCTATCATTGAGATGCCGCGCTTTGCTATCTCTTCAGAGGAGGAAGGAGGCCAAGGGCAAGGTAAAGAAAGGCTAGCTTTGATAAACTGAAATAACAAAATTTCAGGGCAAAACTGTCCTTCAGCACAGTCTACAAACAACTGCCTACAAGTTGTTGCTGAAGTTTTTAATTTTTACCAGTCCCTGCATTTACCTGCCACAAAATTCCCCAGTTTCTTCTGATAGATATGCTGTATCTGTCATGCTCTTTCATGTGCATGTCCAGTACACATAGCACAGCGAGTAGCTTAGCCCAAAAGAAGTTACTCATAAATGTTTGTTTGTTTTTTTTTAAAAAGATGTAATAAGATATAATAAGTTGTAACTTATTTGTGCCTCTAATTTGCTGATTTCTAAGGTGCACTTGGAAGTCGAAAGAGTCCCAGCCTGCTTGGCCCAAATGCAGTCAGGGGCCTGCGATGTGATGAGCTGCCCCTCGCCATCCCAGAGCTTCCAGTGGAAAGAGAGCTGAAGCTTGACGAGTCTCCCACCACACCAAGCTCCACCTCCAGCCAACTGAGCAAAGCCACACTCACTCGTCAGTGTAGTTTATACACCTTATATACTAAGATAAAAATGTTAATGCTAATAGTACTAATGTGGTTTGTTGTTTTTAGGGGGATTAAATGGGTCACATGAAAAAGTTACAAATATGAAGATGAATATGAACTTTTAAAGCTTTCAGATCTGACCTAATTTGCTACTTTTGGTGTTATTCCTCAATTTTCCCATGTGAATACAGCAGGCAGTTCAGGCGATGCGTGCGAACGTGCCAACAGCAGTAACGGTGGTGCCGGCGGAGGTGCCAAAGCTGCAGCAGACAGCGACTCTCCCTCCATTCCAAAGGCCATCAGTGACCTGGCAGCTCGTAGGGCTCGCCATCGCATGCTGTCTGGAGATGCAGACAGACACGCAACGACCAGGCCGCTCAACAAGGTCATCAAGTCGGCCTCGGCTACAACGCTGTCGCTGATGATTCCTGCAGGTGCTTTCAAACATTCAAAAAATTAGGTTCTTAAAACCAAAAAGACAACATGAACAGCATTAACTTGGTCATAGTATTTTGAATTATTGTGGACAGCTGCTGTCCTTTGCACTAGAGTAGAGTGAATCTGCAACCATGCTACATGAAATCAGCTATAATCTGTCATGTTTTGTTCTTTGTGTGGTTTTTGTGTTTTGTTTTGTGTTTTTTATTTTGGTTTTTTTGAAAGACCATCATGGCGCCTCGCCATTGGCCAGCCCGATGTCTCCCCACTCACTGTCATCCAATCCATCATCACGAGACTCTTCACCAAGCCGGGACCTGCCTCCAGCTGTGACTAATGTCAAACCTGCCATCATCATCCACAGAGCTGGAAAGAAGTATGGCTTTACTCTGAGAGCCATCCGAGTGTACATGGGTGACTCTGACATCTACACTGTACATCACATGGTCTGGGTGAGTGTCGCACCAGATTTAGTAATGATACTGATGATAAGTACTATATGTTTAAAAGAAAAACCAAACTGGTGACAGCAGATAGCTGCCCCTGACTGATTCTGGTCTCCCCTAAGGCTTCTTCCTATTAAAAGGGAGTTGTTTTCTCCCTGCTGTCACCAGGTTTTTGCTCTTTAGCTTTTTGTCTGATTGCTGGGCTTTATTTTCAAATACTGCAGGGTCTTGACCTATACCATAAAGTGTGTTAAGATGACTGTTGTTGTAAATTTGTGATATATATTGAGTTAAAAACAGTGGACTATAGGACAAAAGAATAAAGCTAAAGCTACACCGGGTGTATAAAATGCCAGTTAAATACAGAATGTAATGATTTGTAAGACATTGCTTTTAAGGATATGAAGGAAAGTAAACTTGATAAAATACATCAAGTAAAACAAACACATCAGCAGATGAATGGCTACAGGACAGCAGGACATTTAAAAATAGTTGTGGCAGGGACAAATTTAGGCTTGTTCAAATTCAAATTTTATTTGTCACGTACACAGGCATACACAGTGCAGTGAAATGCTTAGACAACTGCTCGTGACCTAAAGAAAAAAACGGAAAAGGCTATGAATAAAATAGGAAATAAATATGAAAAATTAAAAAGGGTAAATTTAACT